AGGAATTTTTTCCCTTATTTCTCTTTCTGTCTGTCTGTTATTTGTGTATAGAAAGGCTATTGATTTTTGGGTATTCACCTTGTATCCAGATACTTTACTGAATCTGTCAATTAAGTCTAGAAGTTTTTTGGTGGAGTTTTTTGGATCTTCAATGTAGAGTATCATATCATCAGCAAATAATGATAGTTTAACTTCTTCCTTTCCTATCTTTATTGCTTTAATTTCTTTCTCTTGTCTAATTGCTGTGGCTAATGTTTCCAGAACTATATTGAAGAGGAGTGGTGATAGTAGGCATCCTTGTCTTGTTCCTGATTTTAACATTTTTAAAAAAGGACATTTGTCATTTCAAATGGTCTCTGCTTACATTTTATGAAATATTTCTCTGGGCCCTTATTGCTTAGTTAAAACTTAGCGATTCCTGGTGATTTTCACCACTGTGTAGGTGCTTTCAGATGGAGACTTAGATCTGCCACCTGTTTTCTTGAGTTATCCATGACTGGTCCTGTCCCGTTCCAGGCAAAATGAGATTCCATAGAGAAATCACTGTAACTTACTCAAGATAGGAATTGTGAATGTACAGACTTCCTTTCACTCACATGTCTGTGCTCATCTGTATTTTTGGTCTTTGTCTATATGTGTGATCTCCTGTGAGGGATCATGGTGGAGGAGCGCAGGGAGTACGACCTGCCTAGGGAAATAGCCGTGCCACCGTACAGTGTCTGAAGTGCAGGTTTTCCTCCTGCTTGGAGCGTGCCACCGCCCGTAACAGTCCAGTGTGAAGAGAGAAACAGTTGCCAGTATATTTAGTCAGTCATTTATATTTTGAGGATCGAGTAGAGGGGAGGAAGTGAATGAAAGGAAATCACACTGTGGTTCCCACCTGCAACATGGGCTTTGGGGGAATGCCACTTCATCGTGGAGGGTGCTGGTTTGTCTCCCTCTTTTGCTTTAAACATGTGGATACTGAAAAAGAACACAGAGGCACTGATCTTGGCACTGAAACCCCCTTTTCCCACTTAGGAAAAAAGAATCCAGGAAGCCATGTGTCAGAAGAACCCTTCTGAAGACAAAACAATTTGGCTAACAACCATCTTTTCATACAGCAGTTAATAGTTTATGGTGTGCAAGCAAGAAAAATCACCAAAAGCAAGAAAAGGGCATCTGCATTATCACATTTTAAATATCTTTAAAACAACAAATTTTTATCTATCTATCTATCTATTTATTTTGGTACCAGGGATTGAATTCGGGTCCTTGCACTTGCAAGGCAGGCCACCGAACCGCTGAGCTAACAACAAATTTTAAAATATGATTTTCCTTATAAATCTGTTGCAATTTTGGTTCTTGGGCACAATTCTGTCTACTAAAAGCTAAGGCAGCCTCCAGACAGAACCAACTTAACTGGTATCATGACTGCTCCTTTTTGCTAATAATATATATCCAAGTATTCACCTTAGAAGGAATTCCGAGCACAGCCATGTTCACAAATGCTCAGTCCTTAGGGGCTCTAAGACTTCTGGCCTGGGGACATCTTAGTGCAGTATTTATGATATAGGCACAGCCCAGAGGCATTTGTCCTGGGTTAGAAATGTCACACCTAGAAGCAGACACCCTGCTAGAACCGCCCCCCCAAGTATTGCATCAGAAGGAGACAAAGCAGAAATTACCCAGAGCTGTAGAGCCATCAGCTGATCTCTGTCTTAGCAATAAATAATAATCTCTGACTTCAAACTGTCAACAAAGGGGGAAAAATCTTAGCTAATGGCTCACAGTGCACTCTTAACTAGTAATTTTAAAAAATCATTCGTCCGGTTTGAAACCTGTTTTGGTCCTTCATGGAAAATTTTCCTGAGTTGGGGGATTGAGGAGGTTGTCTTGTCTGTCTTCTAGCAACAAAGGTCAAACATCTTAAAGCAAGGTCTAAATTGGCCCTTATCCTAAACGTTGCGCTGCCATGTCTTAGAAAGTGAATTACAAGTGAAGTCCAAACAATATGATTCAAAGATGAAACACAATAATGATACACCATGCCAAATATAAACATCTATTTCAATGTTTACTCAAGATTGAACATTATAAAAGCAAATGCTCAGTAAAATTATACGCTTTTGCCAACTCTAATTCTTATGATCATATAATCAAGTTTACTCACGCTTTACCTTTACTTATCATTGCTATTAAATAACCCTTGACATTTATTTTGTTGGCATGTGCTAATAAACACACACGGTCCCAAGAGAGCAGAGGAGCAACCCCAGCCCAGAGCATTCTGTCTGTGAAGCCAATTACACTGGCCTCCAGTGCCTGGTGATGCTGGGCTGCAGAAACGGTTGCTAGGGAAACAGATTCGCCTTGGCGTTTCTGGCAGAGCCAGAAACTGCTTTGTAACATGCCTCCAAAAATGATCTGGAATAAGCAGCCCACCCCGCTGCACTGAGCTCCATTCTATAAAGAATGTAGGTTAGAAACTGCAAAGGAAAACACTTCATACACTTTTTTATTGTAACCGTGTTTTTTTTTTTTTATTGAAATGAATTTCATACAAATTTGAAAGGGGACGCCTGAATTTTGGAATATATTTAATTTACCTTTGGCAGAAACAACAGATTTCAAAACATCTAGTAGCTTCTCACCTATATGTAGCTTTAAAAAAATTTATAGTTTTTCAAAACAACACTCAGACTGAATGTGCTTTAAAAGTTAACTGGTAATGATTTATATCATAGCTTTTTAAAGAGAATAAGTACTTGAAAAGGACAGACTAAACATGTATTTCTTAAAAAATACAATTTTTGGTCATGTGCATGATTCACGTTCAGATTTCAAAAATAGAAAACATCCTAAAGTGCATCATTTTATTTATAACTCCTTGAAATTATAGCAATCGGCAATGTAAACAGTAGAGCAAAGAATATCAAACTATATTTTCATGTACATTTAAATTTATAGAGTTCTGTACCATCTTTAAGTGTGTAGATTTAAGCTGAGGATTTCTGACACACAGCTCATGCTTCTGTATGACTGAGAGAGAACTCAAAGCCCTCATTTCCCCCACGCTCAGTTAAACAGCTCTCAACTGGCAGAGCTGTGCCCTCTGGTCCGCCCCAGACTGCTGTGGTGTGCAGTCCACCAGGTGCTTTCAAGACCCAGTTTTACAACTAACAAGGTCAGTAGAGTTTTATGTTCTCTTCCTTTTCTTTTTATTAAGATGGGAACTGCGCCCTTTAGGAAGGCAACTCAGCAGCAGAGGAGGGCAGCCCTGCTGGACACTGTCTTGTCCACCAGCCACACTGGGCTCTGCCTCACGAACACAAAGGCAGACCTGACCCCACTTTCCCCAGGGCAGACACAGAAGGTGAAGAACAAATCACAAGGTGACATCAAGCACACCGAAGAGATAAATGATTTGGTGTCAAATTCCCTGGTCCCTCCAAAACGTCTAATATAGACAGCTTTGTATCACAGTCTTTGAAAACTTAGAATCATAGTTGGCCACACACCATTATTTTTTTCTTTCTATACATGATCTTGAAAATAGTTTGACTTAAGATTCTGCCTATAGCTCTTAGGGCTAGTTACCTGTCTGGGGATTTTAGTGCAGATTTACTTTTTTAAAAAATTAAAATCTGGTTAAGTGTTCAGGAGGCAGAAGACCCAGGCTGCCTCTCCCTTGATCCTCAGCGTTTTAGCTTAGAATTAAGCAAGACTTAATGTTTGGCTAGGGCCACCACCAAGCAGGCTATCTTGTAGGCATGCTGGCCTCATTGAGAGTTGGATGTTAAAACCGGAGACGGCTCAGTGCAGTCACTGTGCAGAGAACAGGCTGCAGGCTCTTCGCCTGTTACCTGCTGTTAAAAATCAGCCCTGATATGGCTGCTGCTGTCCCTCTGTCCTCTGCAGATCCCGCCCTCACCGGGGATTGAGGTGCGTTGCCAGACCAGGACGTCCTGAAGAAGCACACTCTCAAATAGATGCCTGTACTGCCCCTGTGGGCGGCAGTGGCTTCCAACTACCTGAGAGCCGAAGGGGATCTGCTCAGGCGCGTGGGGGAGGCGCAGCTCTGTGGAAAGGACACTAGAATGGCCAAAGCAGCAAACAGGGCTCCAAAGCACGGTGACAGCTGGGTCCGGGGGGAGAGCACAGCCCTCCACTGCAAGTTTGCTCTGTGGAATAAGGTCCTGAGCTTGTTTTCATCACAGAACAAGAACGAGCTCATGTTTCTCAGTTACCCCGGGAAGCACAGGGCATATCTCGGTGACTGGGTGTCTGCTGCAGTGACGCAGCACTGCTAGAGTTAGAGAAGCTCCTGTTACAGCGGAAGTGTGCCTGGCAGTCTGCGCTTTCCTGCTGTGCAGTGCTGCAGTCGGTCACTGTCATCCTCCAAGCAGTTGCTAAGGCAGGCAATGGAAACAGGGCTGGGCTGGAGGCAGAAGGGCTGCATGCTGGGCATGGCCAGCTCTGAGGCTGCCTTTCAGAGCTGCTCTTTACCAGAACAGTAAATCTGCTCTGCAACCAACAGCCCCTTACGGGGCTGGGCTGGTGCTTACATGGACTTGGAATCAGTGTCTCTCTTGCTGATGAGCACCTCCAAGAGCCTCAGCTTCGCTTTTATGTGCTTGTATTCATTGTATTCTTCGGTCATTGGAGTGCGGTCTTCCTTCTGTACATTTCTAAGGAAACAAAGGAAAGAGGGACTGACGACCATTTCCTGTCTCTCCTAGATGATTCCGTTCATGTGGAGACTGCAGTTCATCAACCTGTACAATCAGTGTGGACAAGTGTCACCTGACACCAAAGCAGGACTGGATTTAGGCAGCAGTGGAGATTTTCCCTTGAAGGTACCACAAGCCTGAGTTTATAGAGTTAATCTAGCATCTTGTAAAAGGCCCAAGAAATGCCGAAATTCTCTTACGTGTTAAGTGTTTATATGAATCAAAACCCTTATTTGTACTTAAAGCTTTCTCATTTTTATGTATTTCACCTAATAAACCATTAAATTTCTAGTTAGCAATTGGCACACACAGAGGACAGGGTTTTCAAGAACAGATAGTTAATATTCCCACTTACAAAACTGGTCTTGGGGAGTTCAGCAGTTGTATCACATACTAATAAGCCTTTACAGTTAAAATACCGAGTATTTAGAGCTTAGTATGGGTTAAGCACGGCACTAAGTACTTTGGACCCTGCAGCAGCTAGGTGAGAGGGTCACGGTCACTCTGTACACACTAGGGCACCAGAGAGGGCACCCTCTGCTGCCTCACGGGAAACGTGCACAGCTCTCGGCCCATTTCCCTTTCGTTTTATTACAGAGCACGTGTACACAGGTGGCAATAGCATGGTGTTTAATGTGTTTAACAAACTAAAAGCCAGCTGGTTTTACTCACACTCTGCCTTGTTCCAGAAAGGATTCTAGGTGGCCCTCAGCTGAAGGCAAGCACCAGGGCCTGGGAGGCAGAGTGCCTGCCACCCTGTCACCAAGACACCCTGCCAAGGAGGCTCTCTCTCCTCACATGTGAAATGGAGCCAGATCGCAGGGCACTGCAGGTCTTTCCAGTTCAAATTGTTTGATGATGAAGTTGAATTCCACCATTTATACTTTTAAGAAAAGCTTATATAGGTTATCTATGTATAGTTTTTCATGTATAGGATACTATATATAATCTGTAACAATGATCACCTGAAAACTGAGGGAGATACAGACAAGCCAAAAATATGCCTGAAAGAGTTTCGGTGGGAAAAACAGCAAAATATTAATGTTGATTTATCTTTGGATGTTATTATTTGGGGAACTTTTATCTGCATATCTATATTCTCCAAGTGTCTTACAACATGCGGAAAATGAAAGGCAAACAGGTATAAAAGGTATAAATCTTGAGATAGTCATTAGAGAACAGATCCAAATCATAGAGATACTAAAAATAAAGAGGTAATTGAACTAAACTGTAATACAACACATTTTAAATACCAAAGTCAGTTTTTATGGTGCTTTTATTTCCCTGAACTTGAGGATGTATAAGGAGAACTTCAGTTTAATTTGGATCAATATAAAATCAATTTAAAATGATAAATCCTAACTCCAGTGTAAGAGCTGCAAATGTAGCCTTGGGCTCCTGCTGTGACTAAGACATTCAGCATAGTCAGCCACTTGTAAACATGAAAGACTACTTCTTTGCAGACTCCGTCTGTATTTTTTAAAATTCTGCCTATCATCGGGCAACTATCATCTGTTTTTTCTTGTCTGTTTGTATGTGGCTGGTGATGGAAGCCAGGGCCTCATGCATGTCAGGCAAACACCCTACCACTGAGCTACATCCCTTCCCTTTATTTTTAAAACAAGCTTTAAAATCAGTGAAGATTTAAAGCCTCTTTTCCATTATTTCTCCTGGTTTCTTTAAAAAAAAAAAAAAGTGCTGTCAACTGGAAATTCAGCTCCAGGCTGCTTGTTTTAGACAAGAATCTGATGTGACAGGTTAGGGTTATAAATGCTAGCAGAATCGGCATTGGTCTTGGACATCATCCAAGAAGCAAATCTCATCGTCTCACTGCCAACATCTCAGCGTCCCTGCACACAAACCCAAGGACCAGGATATAGGAGGGTGCAGATTTTGCACTGGCATTCTACACACAGGGCTGGAGTGCGCGGTGAGGGTGGGGACAGGATGGAAACACACACTACCTTCCATTCTGTCTGAAGAAATTGTCTTCAAAGTCATGAAGTTTCTTCCGAATCCTTTTCTTTTCTTCCCTCATTTCCTGAAGGTGTTCCAAGAGTTCAGGTCTAAGAGGCAGAGAAAAAATTTCAAGAAAGTTAAAGCTAAATCTGAATTGTTATGAATGTAGTGAACATGCACGTTGGTAGGGTCTGTGGAGAAAGGAGAAGCAAGTAAACACATAAACTGTCTCGGGCACTAAAGGTCAGCAGAAGTAAGTGTTTTCTCTCTTGAAAGCCCAAATATGCTTCTGCTCCTTGTGAATGCTCGGCCAGCGCTGTGTCTCTGCCCGGAAGGGATGACGTCCATACTCTTGTGTGAGCTAGGCCGTGCGCTGTGGTGTACAGACACACAACGCCATTCACAGAGACCTGCTGGTGTTTACACAAGGTTGAAAAAGACTGCAGGCACCAAAGTCTGAACCAGAAAAGTTTTCTTTTGAATCAGTTATCTCCACACACCCTCACCCAGGTAAGTAAGTTATGAATGCTTTGTGGGCCATTTGTTTAAATACAGAGGGTAAGATTTATGAAGGCCATGTTCACGGAAGCATTTCAGCACCACAGTAAAACTGCGTACATTGAAGCGGCATGAAGATTTGAAAGCCCTGTGTCCTGGCTGCATTTTGATGGTATTTTGTCATCCATGGGGGAAATAAACCCATCAGCGTCGTCTTCAAATTGGTCCAGAAAGCATCGTGCACTGAAATCTGTCTTCAGAGTGACCGTGAAGTCTGGCTTTGTGCTGCCATCGTCCTCTGACCCTTCTTCTTCCTCCTGGAGAGAGACAGCAACGCAGTCAAAATCTGGTCGTGTGTCTGGATGCGTTTCTGTTACAAGTGTGACTTAAAAGATCACCTAAGCATCCAGATTTCATATAGCTGTCTATGTCTGTGTCTGTTACAGCTGAAATAAAAGCACTGTTACAAAAGCAAGAAGGTAAAATCAGCACACTGGGCGGCTTTGCCTGATCCTCCCAGCTGTGCCTTTGATCCTGTTGCTTGGTCCTTCGAAGGAAATGCCTCAGTAATATAGTTCTGAATTTAAGTTGTCCAAAAACATTTTAACATTTACAGACAGAAACCAGACTTTTTAAATGAATTTCTTGCCAGGGATTTAGTTTAGTGGTTCCACCGCCTGCCTCACAAGCACAAGGTTCTGAGTTTGATCCGCAGTACCCCCCAAAAAAAAACTTTTTTGTGGGAGGAATAACAATTTCTACCTATATAGTTTTTATAAGAACTAAGGTAATATTTGTCAGATACCTAATTAGGCACAGGTGGCTACAGACAGTGCCCATCCATTTTCCTCGCCCTCTCCCGCTCCCTGGATGAAGACCTGCCTGACTTTAGCTCAGGGGAGGCGAGGACTTGGGTCTCTCTTCTTCACCACTGTCCCCAGAGCCCGGCCAATCTCTTCATATAGTAGATGCTCAATAAATGTCTGCTAAGCATTCAGCAATTCAGTTTTAAAAAGAGGACTAAAATAAGTATTACAAGAAAATTAAAGCCTGAAATAGATAATAAGTTACAAATAAGAACCTGGGACCGTTAATGAAACCAGCTGTCTGGGCCTCCTCAGTTGTACTCCACATTACTGAAAGAACTTACAGTACTCCAGTGTTTTGCGCTAATGCTACAAATCACAGGGAAAAATAGAAAAGCAGGTGTTCATATGGGACTGAGTGGTAGGTGTTGAGTTGATTCTAGAAGGAATTAATACATCAGGTCTGAGTGGCTGGGAAGGAATCACTGATCACCTTGCCGGCCCTGGCCCCTTGAAAATGGCTTTCCTTTTTTGACAGGACTGGTGTGATGGCTGTACTTCAACGAAGAACACGATGAGCAGGCCCCCCAGGAGGAGAGCTGGCTGCCCACGTTTCTGCAGCGATGCCAGGGTGATGTGAAGTGGGGGTCCTCTCACCTGGTCCTGCTACTCCGTATCTCCCAGTCATGGGGACAGACGCGTGTGTTAATAACACAGAATGCACAGGGAGGGCTGGGGTGTTAAAGACAGAAGCTACAAGTCATCTGTTTGAGAACTGCACTAGAAGGGTACAAAGTGATGGGAAGAGTCACGGTCCCCTCATTAGGTCAGGCAAGGCAAGGCTGGATGTAAAATGCACGGCACAGTGGGAGCCGGGCCGTGAACAGTGGCTCTTGCTGTGGTGCTATTGCCCCCTAGGTGACATTCGGACTGTTCTGGAGACATTTCGGGTGGTTGCACCCTGTTGGCAGTGAGCGAGTGGATGGAGGCCAGGGGTGCCCGTAAGCAGCTTGTGAAGGAAGGCAACACCCCAGCAGTGCGCTCGCCCAGTGCCGACTGTACAAGCCTGAGATGCCTGCTGCGTGAAGGATAAACTCAGTCTGCGGACAGTGGCACCAGCAAGGACCCGGAGAGGGTGGAGCGCCTCTGCTGTCCACAGTGAAGAAGGGACTGTCCTAGCTAAAGCCTTCTAGAGGCCGGCTGAGCAGGGACACCGAGAGCTGCTCTGAGGTCGGGCCGGGACTGTGGAAGGGGCAGTGGTGAGCGCATGCAGTGCTCTCAGGGCGAGGCGTGTGTGCACCTGTGCTGCTCCACAGGGCCGGACCAGGCCCGCTGGGCCGCGTGTAACACACTGGCAAGAATGATACACGTAATGATCTAAAATTTTCACTGTGGTATTTCATATTTATCACTCACATTTTCTAAAATTGCTTCCTCCATCTCCCAGAGTGCTGGGGATATGGGCATGTGGGTTTTACAATTTTTACTTTCTAGCTATTACTGCTACTCAGCCCAGGGAGTGAGTGGCCTCCCCTCCCCATGCTGTAAAGGGGACCCCTCACGGGGACAGTCACTGAGTTCTGTCAGAGGGATGTTAGAGCAGTGGACAAGAGAACTGACCAGGTTTCTTAGGCCTGAAAATCTAGGGCTTCAGAATTTGCACTGGCTCTGTTTCGTACGCAGTAAAAACAGGGATGGGTTTTAATGAAGCTTCTTAGACAAGTTTTAAATTGTATCCCATTTGCCGAAAGTTACTAAAGTACAAACATAGGGTAATAAGCTTGGCCAGTTGGAACGAAAAGAACCAGGAAACAACACCATTTACAAAAGCAATGTAATCATTTCAGAATTATCTGAAATTGTGATCAAGATGTGGCCAGATAATAAGCCAGGGCCAAAACATTCTTATGGGAAAAAAGGCTAATGGATAAGAATGGGAAGAATATGTTATAAAAAGAGTACCACTGGGGTATCCAGTCATCTCATCCCTTCAACTGTGGTATTTTAATTCTTGTGTGAAATTACCTGCCAAAATTTCTGCTTTCATCGACGTAAAGGCTTATTGTAAGAAAACAGCTTGGGTTTTTTGGTTTTTGTTTTTCTGGTATGTGTGTGTGTGTGTGTGTGTGTGTGTGTGTGTGTGTGCGTGTGCACTCGCGTGCGTGCAAGAACTTGGGCCTCATGCATGCTAGGCAAGCACTGAGCTACATTCCTACCCCCAATCGTTTTTAGTACCGGGAAATGAAACCAGGGCCTTTGCACTGAGCTACATCCCAAGCTCTTTTTAAAAAGCTTTTAAGACTCAGTCTCACTAGGTTGCCCAGGCTGGACTGAAATTTGCAATCTCCCGGCCTTAGTCTCCCAGAGTGCAAGGACTACAGGTGTGTGCCACCGTGCCAGGCACACAAGCTCAGACTTTCCAATACCATGTTTAGAGCGTTTTCATAAAAAAAGTTCTATTTAACGTAGTATGAATGGTGAGCACAATCATTGCCTAATACCTTAAAGTTATCTCTAAGAGGTAAGAGAAGCAATAGAAGAACTGGTAGCTCATGGTACCTTACCTTGGGCAAGGAAACAAAGTTTTCAGTTGTTGTCCCCCAGGAGGGAAGATCATTCTGAAAATCATTCCTATCTACAATACCCAGCCCTCAGGCTTTGAAATGTCACAGAAAGATGACAGTAAAACTCTAAAAACTCACTTTTCCTTTGGGATTAATTCCTTCTATGGACTTAACTGCCTAAAATAAACATTTTTAGAAGATGATTGTGTTTGATTTTTCATTTCTAGAGCCCTCTATAAGACACTTAAGACCCTATGAAACAATATAGTGTGTGCAGGTATCTAGAAGCAGAACGGTGAGTCCAGTCCTAGCAGTGGCAGCGAGGACCCCACAGAAGCACGCTGGTTCCACGCAGTCTAGTGACACTCACCAGGGATGATGGCTATCAGTACAGGATCCATAACTACCACTGGAGAAAACCCAGACCTGCCTTCTAGTGACTGCTGGTTACTGTGCCATGTCCACGGGGGAAAACAGATTATAAAATTGTTCCCGAGGAATAAACAAACGGGGAAAGATGGGAAGAAAGAGCAGGTGAAACTATACCAGCAGAGCTACCAATGTCAACTCAGATGATCACTATGAAATCACAATTTTGGATTTTGTGTTGCAGTGGCACCTTGGTTGCTTTTGTTTGCAGACTGCATCAGATGACCAACAGGACCACAGCCATCTTTCCCACACAAACAAAAAGATCTTGGATCTTTTCCAAAATCATAAAGCAAATTAAGTTCACAAACTGAGGTACGAATGCCTATATACTGCCTTTGTTAATTCTGTTTTTTGCTAAGCACTCAATGTGTGAGATTCTTTTCTTTTTGGAACCAAGGATCAAACTTGGAACCTTGCACTTGTGAGGCAGGGGGTGGAACCACTGAGCTAAATTGCCAGCCCCCAGTGTATGAGATTTTTAAAACAAATTTGGCCAATGAGCTAAATTAACATTTTGGAATACAGAAAATCATTCTCTAGATAGGAAGAAAAAAAGCAAAACAAAAAAGCAGTATGGAAAACAAAATAATCCCTGAAAGCAAAGTCAAAACAAAAACAATATTATAAAGTAAGGTGATAACTGAGGAAATCAGAGAGTGCCTCATCAAAGGGCATCTTCTGAGGGTTGGGGCCTCTACAGGAAGCCATCACCCCTTCCCACAATGGGGGCCCACTAGCAGTAAGTTAATGGGAGGTCTTCACCTTTATCTCCTTGAAGAAGGAAGCCGTTTCACCCTCGATAATTGGCTGCAGCAAAGGGCTTCTCCGCTTGCTGGAGGGGGACCCCTGCGACAGGTGTTAACACGTAGGTTACATTAGGCACCTCAGCCTCTTCTGCCCATCCCAGTATTTATTACCATCTCTGAACCATCTGGGTTAAAAGGCTCCCAGGAAAACCTACGACAACCGAAGTTCTTTTTCAAGTTGCCGCTTCCCTTCTGCACCCACACATCAAGCAGGAGTCATAATGGCAGTGGACCCTGTTAGCCACACACGCCGCAGAGCCTAGGGGAAGCACTTGCCTCCCACCTCCTCCCTGGTCACAGTAACTGTAAGGGCACTAAAGATAACCAGCACAGGACAGTAACTCGTGTACAGTCACCCTGTTTAGGGACCCAGGAGTTCCTAACTGGAAAAAGAGAGTGATTCTTTAGGTTGAGTCCTTTCATAAGTTTACCTTATCCTACAGGAAATTTCTAGAGTAGCGGCTTTCTTCACAACAACCGCCTGAAGTCTGGCTCCTCTCATTCATTAAAAACAAGTACACTGTTAGAGCAGTTTTAAGAGTAAATAAGGGGATTTAAGGCAGGGCTGGAGAATACTTGTGCATCTCAACAGAGATATCAGAGCAGGCTTTTAGGAAAGCAGAAGGGAGGAGGTAACTGAGCCAGGCAGCGCTCTGGCAGTGATGGACAGGGCACGACACCCCACTCAGCAAACTCTTGCCCAAAGGTGCCCATGGCTGGAGGTGAGCTGCTGTCCCTACTCCTGGTAAGAGCAAGATCCAGGGGCCTGAAGCAGCTAATCCCAGAGTGGTGGTCAGGAAAGACAACCTCAAGCCATTAACACCTCTCTCTCCCTTCCACTGTCTAAGTCCCCTACAGCCACTAAGAGAAGAACCACTTTGGACCTCCCCTGCAGGTCCTCCCTGGATCTGACTGCCAAGGGAGCTCTGCCTGGATGTGGTAGAGGGAGGGCCCCTGGGACCAGAGAGGCATGCTTGAGTGCAGAGGCCGCAGAAGCCAGCACCCCCGTCCTCCTGTGCTCCGGCTGAGCAAAGGGCTAGGGCGCTGGCCCAGCATATGCCAGGTGGATGTACACAGCTGAAGTGGGATCCCACCAGCTGCAGACTTGCTCATTTTGGCACATCCCTCAGAAGTCTCGGACAAAAGTCTTCAGTTTTTAAACTTGTGGGCCACGGGTATTGAGCACTGGCTCAACTGCTGAAAGCTGAGCGAGCAAGTGAGGGGCGATAAATACATCATTCACCCGCAAAGGCACTGCACTCACAATGATGGGTATGGTGTTGACCCGGGACAGGATCTGTTTGACCAGCCGGTACCTGTCGTACAGTGGCTTCATAGCCTGACGCTCTGTCTTTGTCACCTGTAAAGCAAGAACAAGACTGCTAAGAAGGCTCCTTCCCAGGTCATGCCACCTGCTATCCAAATATATTCTAGGCCCCCGGGCGGTCCTAGAGAAAAACAGACCGGGCAATTTAAGTTTTATCATTCTTCGAAGATACATTTAAACTGACACTGTTATTTATTCAGTAAATATTTAAAACACCTACTTCAGCTGCAGATCAGTGGAAATCACTCCACTGGTGGTACTGCCTTATATAAACCAAAACTATGATCATTCTTAAGTTTCTGCCTAAAACTCCTCAAGGCTCAAAGTTTCCAGGTGACTTATTACTTTCTGGGCACCCACCAGGAAGGAAAAAGCATGCAGGTGTATTATAATGCTTATCATGAGGCCCGGTAGTCCATTTGTTTACATGCCTCTCTCCCCCATGAAACTGTGTTTTTAGAAAGAAGAATCTGGCTAATAGGAGGCACTCAAGGAACATCTGCTGACAGAGCACAGGGAAGATTCGTCCTTGTTTCCGAAACATTGAGCCCGGAGTTCTGCCAGGGAGTGGCTTCCCCTCTGCTCCTCTGTTCAGCAAATTCCACATCTAGTCGCACCTTCCTGTTCAGGCTTCACCCAACACACCAGTCCTGGCAGGCTTAGCCTCTCCTGTATGGCGCCATCCCAGCCTGTGTGTGCCTTGTATCACACAAGACATTGTACTGGATCCTAACTGCTCATTTCTCTCTCCTGTAGCCTGTGCCCCCCTGAGAGCGGGAGTTTGTTTTTGTAACCCTAGTAACTATTTCAGTGCCTGACACAATGAAACTGTTCCACAAACATTTATAGGTAAGAGGATGAACATTTCGGAGCCGACAGGTATGCATATTTACACGTATGCAAACATGATTTCTTTTGGTTACTTCTATGGGGAATGGGGTGAGGTAAAGGTGTGTCTTCCACATTCTGTCACCCCTGCAGGTGTGATAAAGCAAGCGGGCAAGGAGCAGTCAGCTTTGACTGTTCCTTTGTGGGTCTCTTGGTCCTTCAACTTCAAAGTTATTCACAAGGATAATGCATTACTGCTTGTTTGTTTTTTGTTTTGTTTTGTTTTTTGAGACAGGGTCTCACTATGTAGTTGCGACTGACCTGGAACTCACTATGTAGCCCAGGCTGGTCTCGAACTCACAGCGATCCTCCTGCCTCAGCCTCCCAAGTGCTGGGATTACAGGCGTGCACCACCACCCCTGGCTATGCATTACAGTTATTCTAAGGGATTATTCATATATCCTCTGTTGCCTTTTATGTTCGCATTTCTCAAAGTGATCAACTGTAAGTGCACTTTGCATAAACTTCACAAGTTAAGACTGGATACTGCCACTCTGTAAAACATTTGTTGGGCTTTCTATCATTAGCAATAATGATGATGATGATGATGATGATGATAATGTTATTTCTATTGCTTCCATTACCACAATTTAAAAAATGCTTGGCTTGTACTCGATTCTCCTATTCAAATGAAATGAGGTTTTAAAATTGGTCATTTCATAAAAAATGACTGACACATCCAAGTGTGGTAGTGCATGCCTGTAATCTCAGCACTCATGAGGCCGAAGCAGGAGGATTGCCTTTAAGTTCAATACCAGCCTAGGCTACATAGTAAGGTCAAGTCCAGCCTGCACAACACAGCAAGACTCTGTCAAAAAAAATGTCAAAACTGTAAGAGAACTTATAAATGATTTCATAAGAAAAAGGCCAAAAAATCAAACTACAGGTGTTACTACTGGCCACCTACACAAGGCTTCCACAGAAAGAGACAATGTGAAGTTCTGGGAGAAAGTTTAATAGCAGGATGGCTCCAAATAGGAAGGATGGAGACTGAGGAACTGCAGAGTCTAACAGGAGGTCAGACCTAGGACTGTCACTCTGCTTTCAAGCACTAACAGACAAACGTTCCCAGAAGTTCCCTGAGCCTCACTTTCCTCACTGGGAGCTGTGGAAAGGCCAAACACATAGCATACCATCTTTAAAATCCTTTCTCTCCTTTTCAAAACTGTAGTTTTCATTTAAGTGGGAAGGCAGAATAGTTGTCTAGTGTGCGGAAAACAGTAATAAGATATATTTTTGCCCACAAGTATCTAGATAAGGCAATCGAATGAGAGGAGCAGCAAAGACAGAGTGGAATTATGAAAAAGATCACGTACTACCCTCTTTGGTTACTCTGTCACATTCAGATAATATTTCAAAACTCAGAGGACAGCCAGTAATGAGTGACTCACTGAATGAGTGACAAGTCTTGAACAGAAATCATAGAGTGCTGATCACACAGTTGCTTTTGTGATGTTTTTCCCCTCTGCCTCAAACACAACTTCCCCGCATCACTTTGAGTGCAGTTACTTTGACAGACCCCGAAGCTGAATGGTAAATTAACTCTGAGAGTTGGAACCATAGAATATTAGAGCTAGATGATGATAAAACTAAACTCTGGAGAGGGCAATCATTTGCTCAAAGCAACTGTGCTGCCTCAAGACCCAATTATTGACTCTAAGTCCAGTATTCTTTCCATGCATAAATAAGATTTAGTTTACTTTATTTTCATATGGGGGATTGAACTTGGGCCTTGCACTTGTGAGGCAGGTGGCAGAACCACTGAGCGAGATTCCCTGCCCTCCATTCACAAATATGGAGATAAGAGAAGTGTGATCATGCAGTGTTACTTTCCAAGAGAGCTTGGCCACATGGTCCTCTCAGGAGAAGAATTCTGCCCTCTCAGCTGTGAACTCTGTGTGGAATTTATAAAGATCTCTGCTTACAAAGGGAGGGCAGGAGTATGGGGAAAAAATAAGAACCAAGACATATCATGTAAATGTACAGGATCCCAATGATAAATGTAACTGTAATGTGTGCTTTAATGGGGGCAAATAAAGATCTCTGCTTATAAACAGTGGTATAAAAACCTAATTTTGCAAGAAATTATGCTTCACTAGACAAGGAACTATGTGCCTCAAAATCTCAGTAATAACAGAAAGTTTTGCATTTGTGTGTGGACAGCTACTTGTGAGTCACAGAAGTGCCCGAAGACAAAAGGAGATAGATACTTATAATGGCCCATTAATTTGGAAAATGACAACTTTTTCTTCATTACAGGGTAATAGTAGTAGGTGATCTATGCAAAGATCAGAAAATCCCAAACAGCAGCTAACCAAAGGTCAGTATTTAAACATAGCTCTATGATTTGCATTTAAATGTAAACCTTACTATGTTTACTGTTGTGTTAGTCACCACAGTTTGGAAATGGGATTAAAATATGCCAATGAGGAGAGGACTCAAGAAGAACCCATAAAGTCTAATCAAGCAGCCTGTTCTCTCCTGCATGTTTACTGTCAGAGAGCTGTGTATGCCAAAGGTAACATGGTGAGCTGCTCTTTTATCCCTCTCCTGTGACACGGTACTTCATGAGATCCTTACATGCTCAAAAGGACATACAATAATCAGCATGCCTTGTTAAGACAAACAGCTTTGCTTTAAAAAAATACAAACAACAACAACAAAAAAACTGTTTTGGCTTGTGATTCTGAGAGTTAATATCTTTCAAATAAAAATGTGGATTTAGAGGAAAAAAAGAGTTCTGAGCACTTTTTTGAAAAATTGGGGCTTGGAATAATAGTTTAGCTCTGGAAATGCAAGTATTTTTCATCTAAGAAGAGTATGATCCAAATGGTATTTATAGTTCAGAATCCCATGGTAACACCACAGGTCTAGGAATTAAAAGTTCACTCTGGTTTTCAGACTGGCCAGATGTCAAATGAACACTGCTTTTCCTTAGGAGGCTGGATCCTGATGTTCCAGAGAGAGGCAGAGTATCTGGTCTGGGACCAGAAACAAATGACACTCAGATTTCCTACAGCATTTGTTCCCTGTCCTGTGGGAGGCTAGAATCTGGACCTGTCTGAAAGAATGATGAAAGAGAAGGAAATAAGGCAGGGCCATGGACTGATGTTTCATATACCTGATGATAAGGGGGTAATCATCATTTAATCAGAAGTAGGCCACAGAGAGAACATGTAATTGTACCAGAAGTGAAAACTATCATTTACTGTGCAACCCCCAATGGCAGGCTAGCTCACTTCCTTAGTGCCAGACAAGCTACAGGTAAATATATACACTGTATGTGTGACTGTCATATCACTTCATTTCTGTGACAACCCAAAGGGGACATCTATTCTCTAAACCAAGCACTAAGGGTCCAAGAGGTCACTTAGCCTCCCAGAGTTCCACAGCTCGTCTGTGACTGTAACATGCATGGTGTCTGCACGTGGCCTCAGGCAGGTAGAAGGAGCGAAGCTGTCCAGCTTGGAGCAGCAAATACTACATGGTGAGTCAGCAGCCAAGTTAAGTCTGTCCAGCGTGCAGCTATGCACTCTTGGAGCCTTAGGCCAGGAGTCCTGCAGAGTCTGTCAGCGTCACAGTCTGAACCCACACAAGGAAAAGAAGAAACAGGAGGAAACACACAGCTTCATAGGAGCCTGCCCAGTGCCCATGAGGTCCACACTTGGAGTTCTGAGCCTACACAGGAACACGGGTCCTCTCTGACAACACAAGTTCAGTTCTATCTTCTGCGAGTTCTGAAGCCTCTGTGAGGAGGACGAAGTTTCACAATACATTGGAGCTCTAGATCATTTATTACTCGGTTCAATGCCTCCAAAAAATCAGAACCAAAACTTGGCTGAAACGAGAACGTTATCCCGGTGCTAGTGTTTTTCCACTTCAAGGACAGGCTGGCAAAATCCATCATCAGTGCTAGCATTTAAAAAAATTAAACCTGATATATACTGAACCAAAATTCAATGGTGAATGCATTGCGCAGACTTACTAGGCATGTGCCAAGCGTCAGGCCTCGTGCAGATGCTGAGGACTGGATTCCGCACTACCAAAATGCCCACAACACGAGAGGCCTCAACACTAGTAGCTGAGGATGCAGCTCAGTGTTTAAAAGAAATCTAGGGAGCCAGCAAAGCATTCTGGAGGCTTCTTTAGCATATATTTTAGATGACAGGGCTGTATCCACTATACAGTTATGGCGTAGACTGGAAAAGAGACCTATGCTTTTATGCTATATAAAAATTCATCTGTGAACCTAAACTTGTTTTCCTTCTACCTGCTTTTAACAATTTGTTTTGTGAACAAAAGGTGAAGAGTAACTGACAAAGAGGGGGTCTGATTACAAGTTCTTCAAGGAATGGAGCAGGAGGAGTCCATCATTCTACTGTGTCCTTCACACATTTAGTAAATGCTTGCTGAACAACAAACTCAGACAGGCAGAGAGGCATATTCTAGATGCCTCTCACTTTTGCTTCTGAAAGCATCTGGTGCTTCTTCAGAGACAAATACTGGTTGCAGCTACACTGCAGGAAGATTGAGTTTTAAGGCACAACATTATAGCTTTACCGCCTCACTTTATGGGAGAAGAAAGACTAGAGCCGAAGACGAGTCACGGGACAGGGAAGTCTGTTCAGGGCTCTGTACCCCACATTCTCTCTTCCTGATCCTCATCTTTCCCGCACCTTGAATAGGACTCCAGTGACTCAAGTTTAGTTGCAAACGAAGTTTCTTTGTCACTTTAAATTCAGTGTCTACTAGATAACAGAACACTTCTTAGTGGCTAACTTTTCAAGAAGCTTCAACATTATATGATATACAATAAACTCCCTTTAACTAAATGTAAAGAACGAAAACCTGAGGAAACCCTATTGATAAGATACTGGACAGGGAAAAATCCATTTCCAAAGCCAGATTATTGAACCCAGTCAGAAAATTCACCCCACATACCGGCCGCCCATGAATGCTTTCGTAATACAGCAGGGCCTTCTGCAGGGCCACTTTCTCATTAGCGATCTGGTCTTTGGTCATATCCTGTATAGACACAGGGATAAGAAAAGAAAGTGGGGAAACACTCATGAACATTCCAGCTTCTTTATGTAGTCAAACAGACCTACAATGAGGAAGGTTAAAAGAACCCTTGCGCAGCAGCTCTCCCTGGCTCTGGTCAAAGCTCCCTCAGGAATGAGCCACCCCTGACCTCATGCCAGCAACACGGACAGCAAGGCAGAATGTCACGGCTGCCTGATCTCCCACCCCGCGGTGAAGGCCTGCTCACCACTGAGGAAAACAGGGTTCCGGGGCACTTGGGGCTCAGGTTAACCACCCGAGCGATGCATACAGTTACAGGTCATACAGGCTTAGGTGTTTGTCTGCAATCCTTCTACCTCAGAATCATCAAACTGTCTTTTAGCCTCAAGGGGTTCATTCTGCAATTTACAGTTGTCTGCTTTCAGTCTGTAGTCAAAAACCAAAGTAACCACAGATGAAACACAGTAGTTTCTACATCTGTGGGAGGTCTGCAGAGGTGTCCTTCCCACAGGAGCCCCTGGCAGGTCCTAGGCTTCACCCGCGGCAGGCTGCCAGGCCTGGGGTCAGCCGTTCCCTGGGGCCTCCTCAGGGCCACCACACCTTAATGTCCTCCGGGCGGCTGCTTTCTGCTCGCTTCTCCTGCAGCTTCCTCTGGATAGATTCCAGGGTGACTTCAACGCTGGGCTTCAGTGCTTTGTCGGCTAGATCCTGCTTCTTCTCCTCTTCCTTTTCCAGTTGTGAGCCAAAACTCTTAGGGAGTGTGTTACTGCGCTGCCGCATCCTGGGGGTTAAGTCCTCTTCAGACAGCTTTAGTTTTGACTCTAGGTGAGAAGATTTGGGGGTAGGGATGTATGCGAAGTGTCTGCTGAACCCAAGTTATTTTTCTGTGATGTGAATAACTGCTGAGCTACGTCTGTTTTTTCAGAGCATCTAATTATAATATCAGTTGAAATCCCTGAGTCATTATGTAAAACCCAAAATGATGATAATGCCTTCCTGGATTATCTGGAATGCGTCCCAAACCCTAATTCCTGAGAAAGTTTTAGCTGTTAATACAATGGGCAGACACCTTTGTGTAGTCCTACCCTTGGGGGGTAAAGATGCCTACAGAGAGAACCCTCCACTGTCCAATTTCTGCCTAACTTCGACACCACATTTTCACATTATTTAACTTTCTTTTTGGTACCAGGGATCAAACTCATGACCTTGTACTTGCAAGGCAGGTGCAGTGCCACTGAGCTAAATCCCCAGCCCCACATTATTCAACTTTCATTTGCTAAAATGACTGTCTCCTAAATGAGAGCAAGCTATTTGAGGGAAAGGGGCCAAACCCTTTTCAGATGCATCTCTGTGTCTACACGTCTTCTAACACCACAGCACACGAAGCCTGGATTAAACAGGTGCTTACAAAGCACTGGCTTGAAACCATCACGCCCCTTTCAGTGACTTGGGAAGATGGAGAGGCGCTGCAGGACTTGCCTCTTAGCTGAGCTGGTGTCCTGGGACTGAAGCCACAGAAAGACAGTGGTCTTCCTGCTGAGCATCTGCGGCCCTGAATTACCCAGCAGGGCGCTCAGCCCCTGGCTTGGTGCACAGAGGCCCCACCACAGGTCCTGATCTTCGCCTACCTTTAAGTTGTTTCCGAAATTTGGCAAGGTCATTTGTCCACTTGAGAACCTCTGGATTGGCCGCTTTGTCACTGTGGGAAGGCTGAGAAAGGGAAGTTCACAGTAAACATTTCTGCAGGGCCAGTGAAAAAGAAGCACACGGGACAATCATTTTTATTTCACATAGGAAGGCAAGGCTGAGTCCATCAGCATAAGAAATGAGCCGTGACCAGTCAGGGCAAATTCATATTAGTCCATCAAGATTTGTCACAGCTGGTTACTTCTGATGCCTTCAAACACTCAAGAGGCAAAATGGGGCCCTTATGATTAGGGACTCCTAGGGATCTGAGGTTCCCTTTGTGCTATCTGTAGGACCCGCATGCTACAAGGCTGAGGCAGCAGAACACAGGTATCTGCCAGGTCTGTATGGCAGCAAGGTGAGAAACGCCTCACTGCCACCCTTGGGGACACACTGAGGACAGAGTGGGAGTAGGATGTGTGCTCCCAGCGCTGACCAAGCTGAGAAGATAATCCTGAGTTACACTGTAGCCAAAGAATTTTATTTAGTATTTCTCCCACTCCTGCTCACTGATCAATTTATAAAAGGTAGACTTAAGCTTTCGATATTTTATTTTGCTGTGACAGTGTACAAAAACTTGCATACATCGTGGTTAGGATGTATCAGGCTTTGCCATCTGATGTTTGTGGTCTTTGTGTTCTGAGATTCCCTACACAGACCCCTTTAACTTGTGCACCGCTTTTGAGTTGCTGACTGGCTGGCGCAGTGGGGACAGGAGGAGGTAGAGGGCACACGGGACAGACACTCACTCGGTACTTCCTCTCTTCTTCAAATCTGTCCTCAAACTTCCGGATCTTCTTTTTAAGGCTCTGGATTCTTCGTGTGAGCTGCGCAGGTGTCAGGTCCTCTTGCTCATCCTCATAGGACCCCAGCGAGGAGCTTCGCCGCCTGTGAAGGACATAACTTGGGTCAGTCCCCTCAGAGCCATGACTGGGAGGGCGCAGGGGATGTGGACGCCACAGGCGCAGAGGTCCGAGGCAGGTTTGACAGCCTCATGCTCTTGAATGAGGGGCTGACTGACTGACTGCAAGTCAAGGCTCCAGACGTCCCACCCAGGAGCGGGTCTGACTTCCTCCTGCTCACATTTATGGCTAGCAAAGGCCCACACAGTTAAGCTGCAGCTCCTCCACAAACTCATGACCTCATGTTCAGAAAACCACCAGCCACCAGCAGCACAGAAAAGCGTACCTCATGAAAGAATGGGAATTGGGGGGAGAAGGAGGCACTTCTGTGTCGTCCAGGTACTGCCGGCTGTGCCCATAGGCGTAGAAGCGAGGAGAGAGCATGGGGTCGCTGTCCTCCTCCAGAAGCTGGCGGATCAGGCGCCCAGCCTGCGGGGAGAGGCGGGCCTCATCAGAGTCCGTGTCCTCCCGCTGCCAGGAGGAGAGGGTGGGGACGGGCTCTGGAAAAGAACGGTGGTCAAAGATCAAGAGAGTTCTGGCAAGGACCACTGATCTCAAGGTTTCCTGAAGGGTGCAGAGGGGGGCCCAGCGAATGAGTCCTGAGTTAGACCCAGGACATCATGACTAACCAAAATCACCACTACCTCTGACAATCACCATTTATTATTATTATTATTATTATTATTATTATTATTATTATTATTATTATTATTATTATTATTATTATTTTGTTGCTTCGAGCAATACTGGAGGGGCCTTCGCACTGAACTACATCCCCAGCCCTTGTTTTATATTTTGAGACAGGCTCTTGCCAAACTGCTCAGGCTGGGTTTGAACTTGTGTTCCTCTCACCACAGCCTCCCCGCACGCTAGGATTGTAAAGGTGTGATACCACACCTTTCCGTCATCTACTTTTTATGACTATTCTCACTTGCTTTCACAAGAATCTGCAAGGGATGCTCTGAGAGGCACAGCAGGACAAAGGGGTAGTGATGAAAACCCTTCCCTGGGAGGACGTTCTGAACAGGAAAAGCGAGTGTGTCAGGGATGGAGGCATCAGGCTCTTCCTCCTCTGCTGATGGCCACGGGTTCACGTCCGTCTAGAGAGAGCTCACTGATGGAGAGTTTACCACTTCTGCTCAGGCCATTGGAAAGTAAGCTATTCTGTGTGCCTCTGCTGAGTGTGTGGGATTAACACAGTTCTGGTTCGTGCTTTCCATTTAAACTTAGGGCTGTTCGAGACTATAGTTAAAGGGAGAAGCACACAAATTATTTCAAGAAAGGAAAAAAAAACATTATAGAGGGCAAAACTATACAAAAATTATATCTAGATGATCTCTAAAAAAGAATTACACTTAGCACAAAATCCTGGACTGTAATTTTGGGAAGCAAGAGAGTGATGTTTATTTCTAGCTTCTATGAGATCTGTCTCAATTTATTCTTTCCCTTATTAAAAAAAATCAGATCTTGGGCTGGGGATTTAGCTCAGTGGCACCATGCCAAGGTCCTAAGTGCCAAGGTCCTGAGTTTGATACCTAGTACCTCCTTTCCCCCAAACAATCAGATCTAAAAGATTTTAAATATTTCAGATGATAAGTAGTATTTCATTTGTAATATTTGCACTAAAAAATATGTTTTAGATTCAGCTGTGGATTAGTTATTTATATAAGGCTGGACTTTGCCCAGGATTTGCCCTGGATTCCTAGATGTTGAATCATGAACAGTGGCTCCTTTAGGATGAAACTATAAAATGTATAGAATTATCTTAAGTAAACAGTCATCTTTTTATCTAAAAAGACCATATTACAATCATCAAGCAATACAGCCAGTGTAATTTCATTCATGATGCAGTCTTGTGATTTCTTAACGTTGCACATTATAGAGTTACATGGTGAAACTCACACACACACACACACACACACACACACACACACACACACACATAAATGAACTCGTAAAAGTTGTTCAAATGATTGTAGCATACAGCCAGTTTTGAGAACCACTGATCAACCCAGCAGGTGACAAGAAACTGGAAACCCAAAGAAGTGAGAGGAAACACTTCATCAGTGATCAGGGCTGGGTCTAGAAATCAAGTCTCCTGACTCCTAGGTCAATGTTTCCGATCAGACTGTCCTAGGGCTTCATAGCATGATGGTGGCCTGAGATTTCTGAAGGTCTCAGGGTATAATACGGAAGATAAGCACTTTTTTTTTTTTGTGGTACAGGAGATTGAACTCAGGACCTTGAGCTTGTGAGGCAGGTGGCAGAACCACCGAGCCAAATCCCCAGCCCCAAGCACATTAATCTTTAAAAAACTGACTTCATATAGGATGAAGTCCATAGGTTCTTAACATTTAGAGTTTTAACTTCTCTAGGGACATAGATAATATAAATATTTGGAAAAATGCAAACAGTTGTTTAAAATTGATGCTTTTTAATCTGCTGAGGCTCAACAAGCAGGGACTATGTTGGTGGCTGTGCTTGCTGAAGGCTGGAGGACAACAGGAGGGGTCCTCATCATTTACTTTACACCAAGGCTGGCAGCCTGAGCTTGTGTGGGCACAAGCAGCTCAGATGTGCCAGGACGAGAGGGTGACACACCACAGATGGAGAGGTATGGAGAGAGTGAGTGGAAAATAATTGCAAGGGGAAAATACATTTAGTGTTAAACTGCAGAAAATGGACCTGTTGCATCGGCCAGACTGCACCTTCTATTTTGTAAGACAGCAGCGATTTTCTAGCAGGACTAAACCCATCCAGGTGAAGACAGGGAAAGGGTTAAAATGGCCTGAACCACGATGCACCAGCAGCAACCTCTGCATCAAGCAGCAGAAGAGCAAAATAGCAGGGGAAGTACAAGAAGTCTGGTAGGGCAAGAGGGCTTCGGCAAAACAAAGGCTCAAGCTGATATTGGCACATGGCTGTGCTAGGTAGTTTGACACTTCTACTTAAAAAAAAAAAAACACAACTTTTAAAAAGGTATTACCTTAGCTCCCTAAAGCCTTTATCTCTTTAAAAAAGGTTACTAATCTTAAAGTTTCAGCAATGTAGTCTCTGTGTACAAAACATTTTGCAAAAAGGTATTAGCCAAACATGTCCCCAATAAAAGATCAACTGAATTCACCATAAAATACTAACATCATGGAATTGAATGACTATTTGACATATGGTGGCTAACACAGGATCATTTTTAAGTTTTCTTCTTTGTTAACAGCTATATTGTGTGGCTTTTTTCTTTCCCTCCCTCTCTCCCTTCCTCTCTCTCTTTTTTGGGACAGGGTCTCACTGTGTAGTCCAGGCTGGCCTTGAATTTACTACGATCCTTCTGCCTCAGCCTCCTGAGTATTAGGATTATAGATGTGTGCATGATGCCCAGATGGGGCTCTGTTCTTGACTGGTCACCTTTAAAACTGGTCACCTTTTCAAGACTTGTCATGTAGAGGTACAAGATCCCAATAATGAATGTAACTGTACTGTATCCCTAAAATGTACCAATAAACTCAATTAAAGCTGAAAAAAAAAACTGGTCACCTTTAATGAGTCCTTTTCCTAGTGTCACCAGTAGTATATAGGAAATACACAGCTGAAGAATAACAGGCTGATAGGTGGCACTTTTCTATATGCATGGGTGAATGTATTCACTTATTTAAAAATGGGAAATGTAAAAATAAAACTACTGTGAATTTCAACTTTAACAAAATCAAAAATAATGTTTCATCACTAGTCTGTATGCAGAACAGAAGTGAAGTTTCCTACCTATGCAACATGGAGCCATTATATGACTTCTCTCATTTTTTTCTCTTTCCTATTATTCTAGAGTCTTGTAATTTTTTTTTTTTTTTTTACTGGGGATTGGACTCAGGACCTTATGTTTGTGAGGCAGGCAGCAGAACCACTGAGCTAAACCCCCATCCCTAGAGTCTTTAATTTAAGGATCTCTATTCAAAGAAGCTATAAAACAACACGTAACACATAATTCAATATAACTAAAAATCAATAAAACCAACTATTCCCATATTTTTGTTCGAAATGTTGTAAAAATCTAAGGCAGTCTCATGTTTTGATAGCGGGTACTCAACTAGAATGATGAGGTAAGGTCTAAATTAAGAACTGCGTGGCACAGACAATGGCTACCTCCACTCCCTGCTTGGAAAGCCAGCTTTGAGTGCATTCACTGATCTTTCCCAATGGTTCATTGGGGAATATGTTTTATTTTCAACAGTAATTCTATAGCAGTGAAACAGAGATGCTACAGGAAAATTACTCAAAAGCAAAAAAGGAAAGACTTCAACTTGGATTTTCATCCTAAGTCACCACCATATAATTGCTTTTTCACACCTAGACCAGAATTCCTTGGATACAGTGATTTTGGTTTTAGTCATGTGTCTTGTCACAAAGAGCTCTGGACATAATAATGACACATTTCTCTATTAAAAATTAATCCAACCTGGTCAGCTGACATCACAGTAGGTCAAAAATAACAAAGATAAAAGCTGTATTCCTGTTTCTCCTGAGGAGTTCCGGTACAGGTACTGCAGCCACAAGGACATAAAAGAAACTCATTCAGGAAGCAGGCACGCATTTCAGAGCAGTGCCAACATGGCAACTGGGGCACAGCTACTCTCTGTTTAGCTGGCGGGTTCTGTATACCGTATAAAAGTAGACTGGCTATTGAAGTGGTTTACTTTGAAGAAATCTGCACAGAATGACGAGGAGATGCTGTCCACAGTCCATCCCCTCCTGTGTTATTCAGAGCCATTGCTGTTAGCCCGATGTCATAACCTCCTCCCTTCTTGGTGCTGCCAGAGGTTCTGGTAGATCCCAGGCACAGAAAGATGTGGGCCCTACTGAGCTAGCTCTTTACTTTTACAAACATTTTTTTGTGTGTTCCAAAATTCAACATGTAGCGGTATTCCTTTTCAATTGTTCAAGGAGTTCTGAAAACTCACCAGCTTTAGAAGGAACTTTAGCAGTCATCTTTATTACAAATTTAATACTTATATTTCACATATATGCTTTGCGCCTATCTGCAGTTACTACACGTTCTCAATAGTTCTACTTAAATCACTGATACATGTGAGGGCCAGGTCCAGGTTGAGGACTTTATCTAATGGGAATAGCTCCAATCGAGCTGACTTTGATCCATGTACCTGCACACTGCAGTTGCTTAATCAGTTACTAATTCACTCCCCTATCTGTCTTCTATCATTGGCACATGTCCAACAAAGCTATCAGAAAGCTCTGTCAGAAACCAACTGGAGTCTTTTCAAATGCAGCCCTTCCCCATTCAGACTCCAGCAACCCCACTGAAGACAGAAAGAGGTTGGTGTGATGGGGTGAGTCCTCAGTAATTCTCTCAGCAGCCTAGTCATTAAGGATACCTCCTCTGTGTTCAGAGCCATCCACAGGCACTGGGTAGAACCAGGCTCCAGTTTTAAAGCAAACATGCTGACTTTTCCTGAAACCGTGCTTGGAGATACTTATGGAAGATAATAATCATTAACACTCACATACTGGGTGCTCACACTCGGTTAAGCATATTTTAGCACATTTAATCCTTACAAGTTTACTAAGTAGGAACTACTACATCAATTATTTATTATTATCTGCTGTTGTTTTATCTAAAGATGAGAAGATTAAAGCCAAAGGGGAGAAGTTCATTAACCTGCCCTGTAGAACTTTGGTTAAGCAGCAAAGTCAGGATTTGAATGCTGGTGCCTGGCTCTAAACCATCTGGTCTGCTGCCTGTCGTCATACCTAAGTGGCACTGCTTAGAAAGACGTGTCAGCTAGAAGTGAGAACACCGTAGCTGGGAATCCTCATTTTGCCTATTCTGGGTTCAGCTTTTTATCTGTATAATATTAAGGTCCTTTGGAAGACCTTTCAAGATTCTTGCCTCTTCATGATTCTTTTAGAGAATTTTCCAAGTTACTATCTAGAAGCAGTAAGTGATGAGTACAATATATAAACTATTCTATGACCCCCAAAAATGCCTTTTTAAAATAAATTTCAGCTGGACAAAAATTGAATAGAGCAGCTGAATGTTTAAACCCTAGTACTTCTACAACTGGTTAACCTCTAAATCAAAATGAATGGGATGCTTGGGAATGCTCTAATTATGCAACTCTGAAGAGTTTTAATAAAAGAATAGGATGTATGATTCGTATATTCATTTAACTTTAGAGCACGAAAACCCTAATAATAATGATGATGCTATATAGCCAGATCAAATAATGGGTCCTAAAACATAGCTCTGTACGTGCGTGTGTGTGCATGTGCACGCATGTGTTTGAGGTAAAGCATGGCTGGTTAGTTATCTGCCAACAGCAGGATTAGACACATTCTATATGTGCTTTTCACTGGTTCCCTTCACTCTGCAGCCAATGGTACCTATCTATCAGCTTTACTCCTCTTCTGTTGCCTTGCTGCTAAGCCCCAGGAAATGGAGAACATTACTTCCTACAGGAAAACACTGCAGGGACACGGGCCAGTAGCAATCACCAGGTCCTGTCTACCAAGAAACCACAATTCCATATCCATGAATCCGGGCCACGGTGTAGGGACAGGGAATGAGCCAGTAAACCCAAAAGACCGGTCACACCACACAGTGGCTTTAAGGCTGGTGATGAAAGCCTACAGATGGGAACTGGCTCATATGTCTTGCTAATTATTACTTTCACACATAGACACATTTTGTATTGGATTCACACACAATTTAAAATAGTGTACAGTTTATTCTTCCCTGGAAAGCCACCATTGTGTTTGTTTTTTGCTGAAGCTATAAAAAATGATGATGCTTTAGCAATCAAGCTTATTGTTCTTAAACTGAGCATGGTGGTATATACCTGTAATCCCCCTTGGGAGCTGAGCCAGCCTAGAATACACAGCAAGACTCTGTCTCAAAAAAAAAAAATAAAAAAAATTAGGGCTGGGAATTTAGCTCAGTGGTTCCGCCTTCTGCTTCACAAGTGCAAGGTCCTGAGTTTGATCCCCAGTACAAAAAAAAAAAAAAAAAAAAAAAAAAA